TTTGTGATATAATCTGAGACTATTATTTGAAATCTCAATTTAATTTCAAAAAGCAGAAAAAGAGCTTTTAGTTCCAATCCCTGAAAGTGTGAAGTCATCTTGAAGACTCTTAATTTCCTGTTTCAAGTAGCCTTTAGCCATTCCACTAATAACATACTATAGGATGATTTTGCTTTCTTAGTCCTTAATAAAAATCCCAAATTAAAGTTTGAAGAATGTGTAAGTGTAAAGATGGCTCTAACTTCAAGAACAAGATCTTGAATGAATGAGTTCTTGTCCCACAATGCAATCTTTTCTAACAAACAGTGGCTGTATGCGAACCAATTAGTCCTGTGCCTATTAAGATCTCTGCATTAGAGAAATAGAGAATAAGGAACTGAGTGGTGTCAAGTCCCAGCTGCTTTAACTACAGCACAACCCCTACACCTAAAAGTCAGGGAAATAAATCAAGGAGGGAAACTGGAAGAGCCAAAGGACCAGGACATCTGCTGCTGTATGTATCATCCATATATGACAGGAAAAGCTGTGCACATAAAATCTCAGCACTATAGTTGTCCAAACAGGGCCCGCAGAATGACACCAACTGACATGCCAAAGTAGATAGGGGAAATTTCACAAGGTCCCTGTGCTGGACAGCTTTAGTTTTCAACTTCACACATCTGGGTAGAGGGAGCCTCAGGTGGTAAATTGCCTCCATTGGACTGGCCTGTGGTCATGTCTGTGAGGCCATCACCTCGATTATTGAGTGATATGGGAGGGTCCATCCCACTGTGGGTGGTGCCACCCCTGGTCAGGTGGGCCTATGTTGTATAAGAAAGTAGGTTGAGCAGGGGCCAGGGGAGCAAGCCAGTAAGCATTGTTCCTCCATGGTCTGTTCTTCAGCTCCTGCCTCCAGATTCCTGCCCTGAGTTCCAACTGTGATGAATTGTAATCCAGGAGATGTAAGATAAAATAAACCCTTTCCTCCCCAAGCTGGTATTGGTCATTTTGTCAGAGCAATGGAGAAACAAACTAAAACAGTCCCATTCCTATATGAAGAGCCACAGGCAATCAATGATTGCTGAGAGAGGGAGAATCAGTTTACTCTAGGGACAAGCCCCCTGATAGCTATCCAATCCTGAGTGGTCAGCTCTAAGCAAAAGTACAAAACAGCAACAATAAATGGATTCAGTAGAGGTGCGTGTGTAACAGTAATTAAACAAGAGGTCATGAGTTTGAAAGGGAGTAAGGAGTACATAGGAAGAGCTGGAAGGGGTGAGAGAGGAATGGAAATGATGTAAATACAGGACTCACGGTAAGAAACAGCCTTTTCTTTAAAACCTTGTAAAATTTTTGGTTTATGACACAAGGAATTCTAAGCTCTTAGTCCCTTGTATACACACACACCCTGACTTTTGTTTATAAAAAAGTGATGATGAATCAGAAGGACCTGATGGTGTAGGGCCATCTTTGTCCTCTTTGACCAACCTTCTTCCCCCTCCTTTGTGCCAATTCTTTTAAATTGAACTACCCATTTGGGAAAGACTGTGAGAATGCGGAAAAGACACAGCACTCTTATATAAGGATGCAAACCTACCAAACTTCTGGTTTGGTGTACTTCCTGAAATCTGATGGTGCAAAGTAAAAGCTGCCTTGTCAATTACTTTCACTGTGTTCACGTGCTCTTTGTGTAGTATTGCTGGAGTCCTTGGGACCCCAGATTTTATTTTTAACATCATGAATGAAATTCTCAAAAAAAAAAAAAAAAAAAAATCTCTGCACTACAAACCCTTGTTGGGCAGGTGAAGTGACTCAGCAGTAAAGTACTTACCTGAAAGGCTGCAGCGTTCTATTCAGAGAACACACATAAAAGTGGAAGAGAATCAACTCTAAAGTTGTCCTCACACGCAGGTGAATGGACAAGTATGGTGTGCACACACATGAATACACACACTGTACACACGCAAGAAACAAAAGCAAATTTAAAAAATAAATGAGTAAAAATCTTCAGCATTCTTACAAAGAACACATTAGAAGACACTTTTTTGAAGCAGAATTCAAAACATAGTGCTACAGTTATTATTCTGCCAGCCATGAAATTTGCTATCAAAGCTGATTCTTAAGTCAACAGAAACATTTCAGTAGTTTATTCAAAAATCAACTATGTGAATGTTCTTTCTTAAATATCAGTACTTTATATAAAAGTTGAAGACAGCTCAAAAAGAATTAAAATTTAGCATTTCTGCCAGGTGAGAACATGCTAGTAAGAAATGGGTACCACTCACTCAAGGACAGACAAAAAGTACCTCTCCTCCTCTAGCTCAGGAGTACCCAGAGGCCGAGGACCCAAGCAGAGTTCACCAATAGCTTGGTGTCCTTGAGAAGCCCAGGCTCCTTCCAGATTTGCTGAATATCTTTAGCCCTGTCAAGCAAGCAGCAAGGGCCTTGATAGTACCTTAAAAGGAGTGAGAGGGTTTTGGCTCATTTGCATTTTAAAGGTACTCTTTCATGATCTTTCACACTTTTAAAAGATGTCTAGTTTCTTTTCTTAGCCTGAAAGTCAAAGAAGACTAAGAGCTTGGCCTCTTCCATTGTTCTTTACCTTAAGATGTCCCTGAACAATACTGACAGCTGCTATCAAACCAGGCTGCATTTATTCTGCAAACAGCTGCCTTGTTAGGAAGAGAGTTTCCCAGAGCTACCTCCTCTCTAGAGAAATAGGCTGACACACTGCTTGTTCAGTGAAGGGGTGTAAAGGTCCACTGAATTGTCAGCCCAATTTTATGCTGCTCCGATTTTCCAGGATGTATACAATTCCTTTCGAGCACAAATCAAGAATATGCCAAAGCATGAAACTAAAGGCAGGGGTTATTACTGATCACTGCCAACTTTCAAAAGAGCCTCTGACCTAAATTAATATACCCATCCCAACATTTCAATGATTAAAAACTGTACATGCCAGGTAGCTGAATACACCATAATGCATACATAACCCTTGCCCTGGGCCCAATTCATCAATTTGGGTTATTGTTGCTATGTTATCAGAGATAATTTGCCTTTTTAATCTCAACATTTTTTTCCTGAACTAAAGCCATTCATAAAATTAGCAATTCATCGGCCCTTCTAAAATAACCTGTTTTTATTTTCCTATTCATTCAAAGGGGGCATTAACTATAAGTAACGGGATAATACAATTTCTCCCTTTCTGAAGTAGAGATCCAAAGATTCCCAGGGGCTGGGCAGTGTCTTTGAGAATTTAACAGCAAGAGTTTTATTATTAAAAAATTACATATAACTGGGCATGTAGCTCACTGGTAGAGTGCTTTCTGTTATGTGTGAGACCCCAGGTTCAAACTCCAGCACTGTCAGGGGGAAAAAAAAAAAAACCAGAAAAATTACATGTAAAAATTTAGAGCCAATCAGAAAACAAACATGTTCCACAAAGTTGAGTAGGGTACTTGAGAGCTACTTTGCATATGTTTTCCTTTAATCAAAACAGGCTTTTCCATCCTTATTCATCTGGGTTAAAAAAATTCTATGCTCCAGCAACAAGTACAATTCGATATTAGCCTCTGCTAATCAAACATGGTACATCTAAAGAATGACAGTGAATATTTGATTTAATCTCTGAAATAAAGCAACTGATTACACAAGAAAGGGGTAAAGAAGGCAGTAGACAAATGCAGACCTAATTGTGTTTTTGCTGAAGGTGATTAGAAAGCCCACTAAGTAACAGTCAAAAATGTGATACTGAAGGGAAAGAAAGACAGAGCCCAGATCTGGGGGAAGGAGGGAGAATTGTTTATGCAGAGCTAAGCTGTCAAGTGCAATAAAGAGGCTTGAATAAAATTTAAGCTGAAAATCCACTGAAGCTCCCTGGTTCACAGAGGGAAAAAGCTATTAAAAGGAAATGAAGGTCACCCTCCCAGTTTATTTCACCTAATTGACTGCCAATAGCTTACCACAGGCACCCCAACTGCAGATCTGCAATTGAGAAACTGATGAAAGGAGAATTTTCAAGCTGAGGCTCATTCTTTAATCCTCCTTGGCTCTTGTGTTTTTCCCATCTCCAGTGGGGATGTAATTTTAAACCTTGATAGATTAACTGGTTCCATTGTCTGTGGCAGCACTGGACTATGGCACTCTTAATCCCTCCAGCAGCATGTCTAATTATCATTACAAAGTGTCTGAGGGAACTATAAAAACCAGCAGGGCAACTTCTCACAAGCAATTAACATAAATTGATAAATGAATGATTTTGAATCTGTATAAGGAATTCACATATGAATAAAATGAAGGCCCCCTCCCTCATTTTAGCTATTCTTTCCTTCACTCTGGAAGGAACAGAGCACATGAGAACCATTCTAGGTCTTGCAGTGGGTTGGGGGTGGGGGGTCAAACTCAAGCAGGGAAAAGGACAGAACGCACAGTTCACTACATCCCTTAAGGCAAAGTAAATGACTGTGATTGACAAGAAGTCACCAGCTTCCTCAGCAAGAAGCAATAGCTGAACTACAGAGGAAACGTGAGCCCTGAAGGGTCAGAGAGCACTAGGATCCTTCCTTGGCAAGGGAACTTTTTGTTGGTGTACCACTTAAAATATTCATGAAAAGGCGCACATGAAAAAGCAGAAGTGAACAGTTACACAGGTTCACATACTCTACAAGCAAAAGACAACTCCTTGGACTAATTTTTAACCTCACTGTGGTTGAGCAGTGTAAGACAGAAGTAAAGTATTTTTTAAAACTAAGGCTTTTACTCCATTAACAAAGCAAGTACGGTTTTAAGAAACACAGGATATACTTGTTTATTTTCACATTTAAAAGTTGTTTTTCTTCCCCTCCTTATGTTTCCCCTCTCCTCTTCCTTATGCTTTACCTTCCCTATACCTCTCAGAACACACCCAAAACCCCCTTTTAGCCCCCTGATGAAGTAAGTCCTCATTAAGCTACACAAACTTATTATCTATGTACATTAGTATGCCATCAAACTATTAAGAAATGAAAGCTGGTGATACACACTGTAGGAGGTAGACCTGGTAGGCCACGTACCCCGATGATGGCATTCAACTCTGCCATGGTCACCTGTTTGGCACGTTCGACAGCCTGGGCCACCTGTTGTTGATGCTTTGAAAACAAGGAGAAGAAAACGTATTAGCACTAGCTAAGAACTTCCTTGTTCATTCTGACCACAAAGACAAACAGGCAGTTCCTCACACATGTCATCTCCCAGAACAGAGAAAGGACAACAGGATGAGTGTCCCTTTGTTTCTGAAGTGTGTGCACAATCACCACTTCACTCCTGTGGAGATTCTGGCTTGGAATGGTAAAATGACAGGAAGAATGGTGACTACAGTCCTTAATACACTAGAGTCCAGTACCTGGAAGACTGCCCTGGCTCACAGGATTTGCAGCAGCACATTTGTGCACATCAAGCTCCCATCTCAATACTTAAAGTTGAAACATTAAGTCTGTGATAATTTCTCTGAATAACAATCTAAAGCCATCAGCAATTTTTAGAAAATCTGTAGAAATTTTGTTATTTTAAGTCTTTTGATGTTTCACCCTCCAAGAGGAAATGAGAGCTCTGATCTCAATTCAGAATATGAAAACTCACCTCGTGTACTCCCCAGCTCTACCCATAAATATAAGTGTAGCCAGTCGGTTGGGGAGGCCTGAATTCAGGACAGACCAAGGTCACTTAAAGTAGAAAAAAGCTGGAAGCAATCAATGTGGACCAGTGCAGCTGTAACCAATCCCAGTACTTCAAACTCCCCAGTCCCTTACCATTTATTTTATACACACTGAAAATACATTATAGCACTTTTTAGCCTATGCCCAGAAGGAAGATAACCTTCCTAAGCAAAACTGAAATAAAATGCTGAGTCAATTTCAAATTACACCTATGGAAGGCTCCCTCTGAAATTGTCAAGGTCAACTGAAATACAGTGGCTTATCTATGCCTATGACTCAGTGACTGACAGAGTATAAAATACAAATTTATCCTTATGACTATTTTCTTCCACTCTCTCCATGGAATGAACCTGATATACAAACAAAATGCCTGCTTTCATGTAGGTCAACTCTCAACCTCGATCGGATGATTTTCAAATCAGCTCAAGAAAGCACAAAGGGAAACATGAATCATTAAGAGCTCTTAAGCTCATACTGATTTAAAACTGCAATTTTCTACGGAAAGAAATGAATTTGGGGTTGAACTACACTGTTAACACTTACACATGTACCCTTGGATGTGCAGTGTGCCTTTGATGCCTTAGACAGAATGGCAGGGTTTACATACTTCAACTGTAACAGATGTTCTTCACATTTGTTCCTTGTGATAAAATTAACATCCTAAAACTAGCTAATTTGCAAACAGAAAAGCAACATAATTGCACTTTAATAGCTGAATGGTTTTACTTACTTCCTGAGACAGAAATGGGATGACTTGTGCACAAATGGTATTCAATCTCTTGGCGATTTCAGTCTATAAAGACAAAGCCACACAAATGTTTAGAACACCTCAGAATTAGTTCGGAAAGGTGAAACTTCAGACAGTCAAAATAGGGTCTTCCTTGTTTCCCTTGGCCATGTTCCTAATATTTAATCTTGAGACGAATAGTAGGTATCAGTACTTCTGGTAAAGTAGGAACAATTGCATACTCTACTACTCACTAGCAAGATAATGAGTAGTTTCAGTCAGAAAACCTACATGGTTTATGTATGAACATATCAACCTGGAGCATAAAGCCCCAGAAATACTTTTTCATTGATAGTATACATAGAGACATTTACATAGTCACAACAAGCTCAAAGTGGTGTCAGAAGCCATGATGTCAAGGCAATCTGGCTTTCAAAGATACAAGATGGAAGCAGGACATGGTGGGGCACGCCTTTAGTCCCAGCACTCAGGAGACAGAGGCGGGTAGAGCTCTATGAGACAGAGAACAGCCTGGCCTACAGAGCGAGTTCCAGGCCGCTGGTGCTATGGGGAGACTGTCTCAAAAAAAAAAAAAAAAAAAAAAAGAAAAAGGAAAACAAACAAAAATGAAAACATTTAGCCACAAAATAATAAAATGAAATGAAATGAAATAAAATTATGAAAGCTCGGCATCGTGGTACAGTATTGTAAATTCCAGTACTGTAGATGAGGAAAGACTGTGAGTTCAAGGCCAGCCTTTTCTATGTAGAGAGTTCCAGGTCATCTGGGGCTAAAGGGAGGTCCTATCTCCAAAAAGATAAAAAGATTAAAAAAAAAATTAAAGAGGAGAGAGCAGAAGAAAGGGACTTACTGCCCTACTTTCCCCTCATTCCCACTTACACACACCACTGCTGGTACAGCTATAAACTGGTGCAGACCCTATGAAAAGCAGTATGGACATCCCTCAAATAACTAAAAACAGAACTACCATACAACCCACCTATACCCACAGGACTCTAAGTCAACATATCAGAAATACTTGCACATATACTAAACACTATTCAAAATCCTACGCCCTCTTCTCTCCTCTGTGGGTACCAGGCATTCACGTAGTACACATATATAAATGCAGGCAAAGACACTTACACATGAAATTTAAAAAAATCTGGAAAATAAAGGAAAGAAAGAATGGTATCTGTTTGGGTGGAGATACACTTGGCTCAGAAACATAGTCTCTTGCCCAGCATGAACAAAACCCTGGGTGACACCCCCCCAACAGAACAAAAGCTAAAATAAAATAATGTGATGATGCTCAGTTTGAACATGTAACACGTGCACACAGATGTATGTGGACAGAGAAGCATTAAAGAAACACTAAATGCATCATCCAGAGACAATAACAGGTAACATGAGGTAATCCAGGGATACCATCATCCTAGGTTCTCAGTTCATATACAGAAGCCCAGAGGGAGAGAGCACACTTTAGTATCAAGGATCCCATTAAATACACAGCCCCTTTGGACAATCTGTCTTCCATTCAAGAATATGTCAGAGACAACTTCCCAGTAATAAACACTGCTAGGAATGAGTACATCGTCAACGTACGCTATCACGTAAGCATACAAAATTAAGCATTGATACCAGAAGATATGTTTCATCCAATTTGCCACAATTATATACTCTGTGTCAAATGATGCTCCACAGAGATCTCAAAAGGAGTCCCCAGAAGTGAACTGCTGGGTCAAAGTGTGTGCAAGCTCAACTGTGTTGTATGTTAACCAGACTGTCCAGGAGAAAAACTGTATGAATCACTATTACTGCCTGTCCAAGACAGTGCTTGCTGGCTGTCCTGCTCAGTGTCAACACTGAATTTTGTAGGCCTTTTAAAATTCTTATCCATCTAATAGTAAAATAAATTACCCTCAGTTTTGTTTGTATTATTTGATTCTTCTTGTTCCACATTTTCATGCTTATTGAGCTGCTTTATTTCTCCTTTCTCCCTTTTCTGCTGGAATTTAGTACCTGTTTTTGTGTAGTCTTTTTTCATATAAGATAAATATAAATATTACCCTTCATTGGGTTGCCCCAGCTTGCATAGTCTTTCAGCCTTGCCTAATGTGGATTGGTTTTTGATGATGTACAGAATGTTCAGTTGTTATATGGTAAAATTGAAAAGTTTTCTTTTAATGTTTCTGGCTTTGGGTTAAGGATCAGAAAACACTACATCAGTACAAGCTTGAATATATTCTTATTATATTTACTTAATCTAGTTGGAATTTATTTTGTTTTACAAAAATCAAAATCCTCATCCCTAATAAGAGCATCTATGTGTTATTGCATAGAATCACATCAAGGTAAACGTGACTATGGTCAGAAGATTGTTAAGACCCATTCTCAGCTACATATGGCGGCAGAGACCTATCATTACAACACGTACGAGGCTAAAACAAAACTGAGTTCAATCAAGGCCAGTCTAGATTACATAGTGAGACTGTCTCATAAAAAAAGAACCTATTCTGAAATACTAAACTTATAACCTTTAATAACAATAAGGGGACTGAAAAGAAAACAGTAGTACAGATTAATATAAAGACAATACTGGGTTAGACAAGTATGACTGAGGCACGAGGAAGACAAAGATCACAGCTCAAAATGATGAGAAACTATCAGAAGCCATGGCATATGTCCTGAAAGTTCTAAACAGATGCTGGAGAAGGAATGGACACAAGTGAGAGGGGAAGAACATACCTAAACTGTCCCCTCTCTCTACCAAGTCTTCAAACTACCTTGACTAGTGAACATGATTTTTTAAGCCAAAAAAACATAATCCAACTCTTGCCTCTTCTACTTAGAAACTACTGAGCTGTACTACCTCTGCCCACCTGTAGGACCTCAACAAAATCTACCTTCTTCCTGGTGGTAAGGATGCCTGACAGTGCTTTTTGAGTTCTAGGAACAGCATCTCATCTCCCATGGAGATTCCTAAAAAGTTCCCAATCCCTTCAAACTCTGGATGGACAGGAGCAGAAGAAAAAGTTTAAAAAAAAAGAATGGGATGGAAAAAAAAAAAAAAGATGATGATGATTCTCGTTATTGTCTTTTGCTTAGTTAAGACATGGGCACTCTGATGAAATTCTTAATTTAGCAGGAATTAACAACCAGCAATGTTTTCCACTCATGTTTCTGTTCCTGGTCACAAAGCTGGGAAGCAGATTGTATGAGACCCTTCATTAGTTAGTATTAAGAGTTATACAACCATTTCATACTACCTCCCACCTCTCCTGAAAGTTTGACAATTCCCATGTGTACCAACCGTATTATTTCCACCTAGAAATAATTTTCCTGCACAAAGCTAAAGACAGATTTAGTACTTGCTAGCTCACAAAGTTCATTAACTTTACCAAAAGCTGTAGTTTTGACACTGTAAAGGCAACAAAAACAAATCAGCATCCAGAGGTCATTACAAATCAAACCTGTAAAAATTTTCCACATAAAATATTTTTTTCTTTAAAAAAAAAATGTACTTGTAGGACTGGAAAGATGGCTCAGTGATTAAGAGCACTGGTTGCTCTTGCAGAGGACCCAGGTTCAATTCTCAGCACCCACATGGCGGCTAACAACCACCTATAACCCCAGTTCCAGAGGATACAATGCCTTCTTCTGACCTCCACAGGCATTACATGACACAGGTGCACTTACATACATGAAAACAACACACTCATACATGTAAAATAAAATAAAACATTAACTAAATGAATAAATAAGAATTAAAAATGTATCATGTGTGGTGCACACATATGTAGTATATACACAAGTGGGGGGACACCTGTGTATATACAGAGGCGAGTGGAGAGTGTGGGGTGCCCTTTATTACTCTTTATCTTATTCATTTAAGGCAGGATTCTTTGACTAGGTTGGCAACCAGTGTTGCCCCAATAATCATCCTGTCTCCATCTCCATGATATCAGGGTCCCAAGTCCATGTGGAGTGCTGTGATCCAAATTCATGTTCTCATGGTTTTGTAGCAAGCACTTTTAACCACTGATCCATCTCTTCAGCCCCTCTACCCAGAAAACTCCAAGCGAATGCCCAGAACAACCCTTACTTTCTGAATAATCTGCACACATCAAAGCAACAGGAAACAGGTCTAAAGAACTACCTAAAACAGTCTTTTATGCTCCTTGTCCATGGCAGCTGCCCTTCTTGATTTTCCCTTGTAGTTATTTTTCTGTTGCTGTGATAAACACCATGACCAAAAGTGACTTATGGAGCATTAGTTTACTTTAGCTACAGTTCCAAAGAGAATCCATAATGGTGTGGAGGCACAGCAACACACAGTTGGAGCAAGAACCTGAGAGATTCCCATCTTCAACCACAAACCAGAAGCAGAGGGAACAAACTGAAAGACATATGAGGTTATAGACTCTCAAAAGTCTAGTGACACACTTCCTCCAGCAAGGTCACACCTCCTAAATCCCCCCAAATAGTGCCACCAACTGGGAACCAACTGTTCGAAGACGTGAACCTACCCTACAGGGGACATTTCTCATTCAAACCACCACAGCCCTTAAGAGAGCTTGTGCCATAACTCAAAAATTTAGGTTCATGTCTAAATAAACCAGTATCAAGTGTCCCCAAGTTAAGACACTTCAACTGACAGGTCTTAGGTCTACTACCTGAATAATAGGAACACCACTAAGTTATCACACAGTTCCATCAAAGTCAAGTGAGCTAGTGTGTAAGCTACAGGTATTCTACTCCAAAGTGCTATATAAACCTAAGAGAGCTTTCCAATCCTTCAAGTCCACTCAGAAGGTGCCTTTGCTCATAACAGCAGTAAGTACACTCTTCTCTGGGCTCTTCAAGATCCTCTACAACACTCACTGTCATCTGATAGACTAAACCTACATGCTGAAAAGTTACATGTCAAATAAAGCTTCCGTATACTTTCCTAACGGCACCCTCTAACAAATCATCTCAACACAACATGGGAATTTGAGGACAAGACTCTAACTAAATATTCTGACATGTCTTTACTGTCTCTCACTCCCTACTAAAACTGATCA